AATTAAAAAAAAAAGTCTCAACTAGGTCTCACAACCAAGTGCATCTGTAGATTTAGCTGAGGATTAACGAAAGAAAAGGCCTCTCCTTCTCTCTCTTCATCTATAAGAAAGGGTTTCAACTAAGGTTGATCACAAGAGGAGAACCTTGGTGTCCTTTGTGAAGGAAAAGGCCTAGAGATGGACTGCAACCAGGGGAAAGGAAATGTTTTCAACTTGAGTAGGGGAAACGTCTACTCCTGAGGCCTGAGCAATAAAGATAAATAAGCAACAACAAAAATAAAGGATTTTATGATGCCAGAGATGACCAAGGCACAAATCCAGAACAGAATTACTACAAAGCACTTACATTAAGACGTCAAAGAAAAAAAAATTCTCACAGGAAGTTAGAATGCTTCAAAGAAATGATGCAAAAGTTCAAAAAAAGATATAAAAGAAAGGAAAGCTACGGGGAAGTGGAAAAAGGAGTCAACAGCTTAATAGAAGAGGTACAAAACCTTACCCTAAGGAACAAACTCTCAGAATGGAACAAATAGAAATTAATTAATCCAAGAGATAACTGCCCCCCCTCAAAAAAGTCAAAAGAATGAAAAAAATGGAAGAAAATGCAAATAAAAAGTGACCTGGAAAACAGATCAAGGAGAGATAACTAAAGAATCATAGAGTTATTTGAAATGTACACTAAAAAGAACATAGATATCATATTTCAAGAAATCATTAGAGAAATTGCCCAGTCATAAAAAAAAAGCAACGTGAAAATAGAATCTACTAAAAGGAACCCCCAAATGAGAATTCCCAGGACTATCACTGACAAGGCTCATTATTTGCAAAAACTGCTGGAAAAGTTGGACGGCAATATGAAAGAATTAAATTTAGAACAAAGCTTAATAGCTTATGCAAAGATAAGCTCCTAGTGGGTATATAGCCTAAATATAAAAGGTTACATCATAAACAAATTACAGAAACATGGCAAAATTACCTATCAGATCTATGGATAGGAGAAAAGTTATGATCAAACAAGTAGTAGAGACAATAAAATGGATTATTTTGATTACATAAAATTAACAAATTTTTGCACAAATCTAATAAAGCTAAGATTTAAAGGAAACAATTGGGGAAAATCTTTGCAGCAAATTTTCCCAATAAAAGTCTCATTTTTAAGATATGTAAAGAATTTATTCAAATTTAAAAGAAAAAGAACCATTCCCCAATTGATAAATGGTCTAAGGATATAATAAAAGTCTTCAAGAGAAGAATTCCAGGCTATCTATAGAGAGGAAGAAAGCAAGTATTAAGCACCTACCAAGGTGCTACCGAGGCACTCTGCCACACACTTCACAAATATTGCTTCATTTGAACCTCACAGCAACCCTGGGAGTTGGCTGCACAGCCATATTTTTTAAATGCTCCCACATCTCTACTTAGAGAAATTCAAATAAAAGCAATTCTGAGATTCCACCATGGTCATACCCACCAAAATGGCAAAGACAACAAAAACAGGAAAATGACAAATATTTGAGGGATTGTGGGGAAAAGTCACATTGATGCATTATTGGTGTACCTGCTAATGAGTATAACCATTCTGAAAGCAATTTGGAATTAGACTCAAAAAGCTACTAAACAATGTGTGTTTTTTGACTCACTTATACCACTGCTAGGTTTCTACCAAAAACAGATCATAGAGGAAAAGGTCTTTTATGTATAAAAAGTACTTACAGCGGCTGTTTTTATAGTGGCAAAATTCTGAAAACTAAGACTTGTCCACCAATTGAGGAAAGGTTGAATAAGTTCTGGTAAATGAATGACATAGAGTAACATTGTGCTATATGTGCTGAATGAAGCATATATATTTTTGTGTACAGCCCTTGGAAGAATTTGTTTTGCTTGACTGTGCAAATTTCTTATGATAAAAAAATTTCCCTAGTGAGTGTGGTGTGGGAGAGAAAACATGTTATTTTTTTAAAAAATAGAGGTGAGAAAGTGTTACAGATGTGAAACGTTGTATGCATTATCAAATGAGATCACTGGAGAACCATACTAACTCTAGTCACTCTGATACCCTTACCTCTTGAAGATAACTAGTTTTCTTCTGCTCATAGCTATTTAGCTAGCTCTTCAGCTAAAAACTATTTTTTTGTTTCATATTTTCCAATTAACAGCAATTTATTTTCTCTCCCACTTACTCCTCTCCCTTAAAAAACTGCAACAAATATGCATGGTCAGGCAAAACAAATTCCCATTTTAGCCACATCCAAAAATGTACATCTCATTCTTCATCTTGACTTCGACCCTTATGCCAAGAGTTGGGTAGCACAGAGTTCTTAAGTCTTTCACAGTTGTTTTTATAATGTAGTTACTATATACATTGTTCTGATTCTGTTCACTCTGTATCACTTCATACTTTTTTTTGGGGGGGTGGCATTTGAAGACTTAACTCACTTAAATTCTCTAAGAATTCTCTTACTCTGTTCTTCCTAGAAGACCAGGTTTCAAGTCTTGACTCTGCCACTTGTTATCTATCTAATCACATCTAAGCACATCACTAACTTCCCTGGCTGGTTTTCTCATCAGTAAAATGAAGGGGGCTGGCCTTCCTAGCTTCAACATTCTTATTCCTTGGTTCTCTCAGCAATACTTACTATTCGTTAATAGAGAAAATGAAAGTGAAGGCCAATGAGAGATATTAAGAAAAATAAATTATATTGATTTTTATCTTCTCTTTTCTCTAACAGGGCCATTTTGAATAATTTTATTACTAAAAATGTGCAAGGCTTTTAGTAAAAATTTATTTTATACTACACAAACAGTTCCCCTTCCCAGTGTATTCCAGTGACATACTATCAGGCAGAAACATACTCCTAATTTTTTACTCTGGGGAGGCTTGGCACTTTGCTAGGGTATGAAGTTTTGCTAATGTAGACCTGTAAGACCCATCTTGGCTTAAAAGTCATTATAGGGCTTTCACATTCACATTAGGTGGCACATGAAGGGTTTTGGAGTCCCCTGAAGACCCTCACATTATACAAATATAACCTTTATAATAGATTATGTAAAGGAGGCATACAGGAAGTATAAATAAATGCTTACTCCTCTTTGCTTCTTTAGGATATATAAAGTTACTAAATCAAACCTGATGGAATTATAGGGTGGCTAGCCATTTGGCTGGCTGAAGGATCATCCATGTTATTGATGACCTTTAAAAAGTAAGCTTACTAGCTGTGGAGTCAATGAAGACAGGAGAAGCTCTGTAATCTAGGAGCCATCTCTGGCAGTTAAGAAAAGAGACAGCTAGGGAGTCATCCCCTAGGAGTGCAACCTACAAGTATGACTAAAGGGAAGGGTTAGCCCCAGAAGGAAAACTACAATTAAATATGGAATCTCTTTTCTTTAAAAAGCTGGACATCACAAAGGATATGAACATGCAGTTTTCAGACGAAGAAATCAAAGCTATCTATAATCATATGAAAAAACACTCTGAATCACTACTGATTAGAGCAATACAAATTAAAATAACTCTGCGATACCACCTCACACCTATCAGATTGGATAATGTGACAAAAAAGGAAAATGATAAACGTTGGAAGGGATGTGGGAAAACCAGGACACTAAGGCACTGGTGGTGGAGTTGTGAGCTGATCCAACTATTCTGGACAGCAATTTGGAACTATGCCCAATGGGTTATAAAACTGTGTATAACCTTTGCTCCAGCAATACCACTGCTAAGTCTGTATCCCAAAGACATCCCAAAAGGGAAAAGGACCTATTTGTATAAAAATATTTATAGCAGCTCTTTTTGTGGTGGCAAAGAATTGGAAACTGAGGGGAAGTCCATCAATTAGGAAATGGTTGAACAAGCTGTGGAATATGATTGTGATGGAACATTATTGTGCTACAAGAAATGACAAGCAGGATGATTTCAGAAAAACTTGGAAAGACTTACATGAATTGATGCAAAGTGAAGTGAGCAGAACCAAAAGAATGTTGTATACAGCAATAGCAATATTGTACAATGAAGACTTGTGAACAACTTAGCTATTTTTAGCCATACAATAATCCAAGACAATCCCAAAAGACTCATGATGAAACATGCTATCTGCCTCCAGAGAAAGAACTGATGTTTTCTGAATACAGACTGAAGCAATTATTTTTTCACTTTTTTTTGGAGTCTTTTTTTTTTTAAGGCAATTGGGGTTAAGTGACTTGCCCAGGGTCACATAGCTAGTAAGTGTCAAGTATTTGGTCTGAGGCTGGATTTGAACTCAGATTCTCCTGACTTCAGGGCTCTATTCACTGCACCACCTAGCTGCCCCAGTTGGAGTCTTCTTGTACAAAATGAATAATATGGAAATGTTTTATGTAAAAAAATTAAAAGCTGGAGTCAGACACTCGGCTACCTGTTATTGTTTCTGTGGGAAAACCAGATTTGACTTAAGAGTATATTTTCCAGGATTCTCTACACACACAGGAAGCCTACCTGTTGAATTTGCTTAAATCTCAAAAAGCTATATAGAATTTCATATAGTTAACCAGTTAAACTTCTCTACTGGCAACCAATTTTAGGTACAAGTTATAAATCAGTGCTCAACAAAGTTTGAGGGAATACAAATTTTTTTTAACAATAACAGAAATGAATAGCTGGATTAGGTCTAATACACAATTAAAAAAAAAAACCTATGTAACATAGGATCATAGGTTTATAATTAGAAGTGACCTCAGACCTCTGGTCTGATTCCCTTATGTTAAAGATGAGGAAATTGAATCTCAAAGAAGGCACGTGATTTGCCTCAAGTTAAACATGTAGTAAACAGCTGACTTGTGGTTTTACCCTAGGTGTGTTCTCCGAGTAGATTTTTAACCCTTTGTTGAAGAGAAAGAAGTTAAATGCTAGAATGAATATATATATATATATATATATATATATATATATATATATATATATATATATATGTATATACACACATGTCTATGCTAATGGACAGCCTGTAAATAACTTTCAAATCCAGTTATCTTAATATAAAATGTTTTTATTGTTTTTGAAAACATTTAAAAAACAATTCTTGAGCACTTTCAATAAAAAAGGAGAACTGAAATGCTACTGCAATAGTCAACTACTGTAGTTTCAGCAGGTACAACAGACAACAAAACACTGGGGGAAATCTGACTTTTTGCACTAAATGAAAACGTGGAACAGGGATTTTTTTTTTCCTTATGGTGCAGTAAAGCACAGTATAGTACAAGACTATTATATGAACCTCAGATGCACTGCACAAAAAACACTTTCCTTCTTTTCAGTTCAAAAGTCAGTGCTTATTGCAATTATATGCAAAATTATTTACTTCATGAAGTATTATCATGATAAAATGATGCAAAATGTTTTAAACACGAGAACAATGAAAATAATCTGAGAAAAGAACATATTCAACAATAACTAAGCAGAATTAGTCAACATAAAAGAGAAAATAACTTGTGAATAACTATGCTTACCTGGTTAACACTGAACCAGTTTCAATATAGCCAAAAAAAAAGTGGTTACAGGAATATACCTAGTACTGTACAAGATAAGTCAGTAACACTCATGCACGCTTTGTGATCATGTATTAACATGGTGAAGCAAACTAAACTTAATTTTTTCCTGCTGTAATATTCTCATGTAAGAGAATAAGAAATAGAAATATCTCATTGAGATCAATGCACATTGCTACATAAGACAATTTTATCTGTCACTTTGATGACATTTGTCTTTTCATAATGAAACACATTTAAAAAGTTATCTGTGGACTGTATTGGTTGCATTTATCCTAAGAGATGTGCCTACCACAGGTTCAACAGAAATTTAGTGCAATATATGAACCCCAGAAAAATTTGCTGGACTAATCAACCAAATTTAAAGTGTTTGCTGCAATACTGTACAGGGGGTAAAAATTCACTAGTCTTAATATTTTATCAAAAAAGGTTTCCATTATTTTGTTTTGTTAGTAGGAAGCTAATAATGTAAACGAGGGATCAGAATGGCCTCGAATTCCCCTCTTCCGAGTTTCTCATGCAGAGAGGCTCCCATCATTTGTCAGAGAAGTCACATAGTTTTCCTTTGGGTATCGCATACTTTGGTGTGCAGTAGTGCTGTGTCTCAATGTACAGTAAAGAAATAACTAGCATTAAGAACAGGTACCTAACCAATTTTTAAATCATAACAGCAAACACACACAAATGCCAATAACTAGTACAATATACAAGCTCTGAGCCAACCCTAGCACCATTTATTGAAATGTATTGATCCCCCTACCTTGCAGTTTTACTGAACAATGAACCCTTTTTAAATTAAACCCTTCATCACATTTGTTAAATATTCATTGATTGTGATATTCTGACTGGCTTACTAATTAAGTTAAAGGAAAGCTTAGTTAAAACATTGTGTTTGTATTTAAAATGGTTTTAATGTCACTTTAAAAACTTAATAGTAATGTCTTCATCAATTTTGCAGTAAACTTGAAAAGTTCACTTAAAGAACTGAACTCTTAAATGGATAGCAGATTGCATATGCTGATGTGAAATTTATAAATATTCATTAAAACAAAACAGGTGGCATGCAGAAAAAAGCAATTTTAAAATAAATCCTGAGTGTTTCTCTTGCAGTTTTGGTTGTTACAAGAAATAAGCAAGTGAGTAATAAAAGTTTCTTCTTTTGTTAAGTATTACTTATATCAGCAGTTTTACAAGAGAATAAAGGATTTATGAAGTCAGGCCTTAGATGGTAACCATTTTCAGTCCAGTTTATTTTTTTCTATTTCTCCTGCTTGCCTGTGTGTTTTTCAGAAGATTCTCGTGATCAAACTGCATTTTTGTATTCAGGAGGATCCAAAAGTATTGGCTGACTAAATTGAGAGGAGGGAAAAAATTCCTTCCTGATTACCAGAACATACGATAAGGGTTTAAAAATAAATCTCAAATAATAACATTTTAATATTTTCATGTAGCCATTCTATTTAAAAACAAATATTTTTATTTCCACTTCCCTATCGTAAATTATCAATGAAACATGAAACATGTGTAACGTGCTTAAAATTTCAGTGCCCAGAATTATTTGTTTCATGTTTAAAAAAAAAATCAACTTTTTAAAATGATACTTAAAAGACTAAACATGAGGTCACAAATATAAATGGCTAACACTAGGTTTATTTTTTAAATAAAAAATTTAGTGTAGCTCTTTCCTTAAACTAGTATTAAAATTTTCATTATTTTCTCCTATTTAAGCCCTTCATTTTAGGTGTAAATGCTATTGAAGCAAGAGAAAGCTCTATGGAGATTTCTCACTATGCCATAGCCCTATGCTTCAAGACCACACACTTGTTATTACCTGAATGCTATCCTTAGTTTAAGAATGGCCTTATCTATAGTTCATCATAGCTGTGATTTCTTATCTAAAAAGTGCCAAAAGGAAAAAAAAACCCAACCTTATGCCTAAAACCAATGGGATTCTGTGCAGATCAACTAATGGAATAAAACAGATTTTAAAAAATAATCATCTGGACCACTGCTGTGAAAGCTGGTTAACTGCCGACTAATTAAAAAAAACGTGGTTAAATGGGGGAACATCATAAAATTTTAATCCTAATACTGGTTTGTTGATAGACCCATTGTCTTCAGAAACTTATGTAGAACAGAAGCAAGTCTCATCTATCCCTAGTGAAGAAGGAACCACTTAATGCAGCAAACCCTTTTAAAATGTCACAATTAATAGCAAGTGTTTCTGCTGCGGGAGGCACTTCCATTAAGACAAATACAATACATCTGTCATTAGATACAGTGTGCTACATTTTATAAAACAGAATTTAACCCAACATTTCAACAGTGGGATGGTCCTTGCTTTCCATCCACTCAAAACCGGATGAAGTCATAGCGCTCATGGATTCACTGCAGATCTGCTGAAATAACGGATCATTCTTTAATTCCTCCAGTGTAGCATCATCATCTTGTCCCTGCTGGCGACCTGGATCAAACAGTAGATTGGTGTCTAAAGTGTTCAAATCATTGATGCTGCCTGAGAGTTCAGAAGACAATCTGATATCGCTAGAAAAATCAGATGCAACATTACTGAGATCTGTTGCTACCTGACCCACCAGCTGCTGGTTGGCTTGCAGGTTGTCCCCACCCAACAGGTCTTTAACAGTGCTACTGAAATCTAATTGCTGCTCTCCAATTTCTGATTGTGCTTGGTTATCTCCAGGAGAAAAATTAATCTGATCCGTGCTGTTATTTTTTGTGAGGTAAGTTGGTGTCTGGAATTCATAAACCGAAGTGCTGGAATTGATCATATTCTGTGGATTGGCACTAGGAAAAGCAGTGGAAGTTTCCAAAATCTGAGTGAGATTCATCCTTGCTGTGTAATTGGAAGGCAGGTTGTTTATTCCCAAACCTCTTACTGCATCATCATTGTCAGAATCAAGTTTATTCAACAAAACATTGGTTATTTTTTTGCTGTTTGCTTGTTTCTGAAGAGTGGGGAAGGCTGTCTGCATCATAACAGTTAATGGGACTGACTGACTTCTTTGAGCTATATTGTTGGCACTGGTGTCTGTGTGTACATTTGTGAAAACATTATGGACTTCTGGAGTTACTGGGCTTCCAAATGGGGTCAAATTAGATCGTGGTATATAGAAACTGGATAGAGGGTGCTTCCACTAAGGTTACGTTGGCGGTGGACTGCAGGACTCACACTTCGGCATCTCAAACTATTGTTGAGGGAAGAATTATTCCCTTTGTTATCAAGGGGAGCAGGGACTGCAAAGCCTTCTTGCTTGTTCGTATTATTTACCACAGTACCCTGATGCTGTATGGGTGAGACAGGAGTCAATCGACCAAAATGAGTGTCATGATGCCTGGATTGAGACTGATATGACTGGCCAGGCACAGCAAAAGCATGAGGTTTCCTGAAACGATCTTCCACTAGTTCCTGATAGCTTGGGAGAATTCCATGGCTTGAAACTGATGAATTACTGACACCACTATACCCATTATTCATCCATTCAAGTTTAGTTTTATCAGGGTGAGTAGCCATAGGTCTTTGCATTGGTTTCACAGGACTACTTGAGACAATGCTTGCATCATGGTACGCCATGCTGGAGCTTATTGGGGTAAATGCAAAAGGGTTCCTGCATTCAACAGGACTAGGAGGGACACTGCTACTGCAGTTCGAGTGAGGAGTACCAATAGGTGTGTGCCTACTACTTCCTAAAGCACTATCTACCGGGGTAGTCTGGGCTAATCTAGAGCAGGGGCTCTCTCTTGACAAACTCTGAGAACTAGCAATCATCTCAGAAGTTGGAGTTGGTGTTGGAGTTGGTGTGGGGGTGGGGGTTGGAGTTGGTGTAGGTGTGTGAATTGGAGTGCCACTGCTATGGATTGAATGGTAGAAGTGGGTATTGTTGGGGTGAGAAGACAATGGCGTTCCTGCAGCTACTGCTTGACTCTGAAGTGTCATTCCTAAACAGCTACCATAAGAATGTGAATTGTTCATTGACATTTGTTGCTCCATGAGCACTAGCTCTTCCACAATACTGTCCTGTGTAAGTTCGTCATCAAATGGAAAATAGTTTTCATTTGTCTGGGAAACAGTGGGCTCAAATTCCTTTAGGTCAGACTGCAGAGGTAACTGATGTGAAGACTGTGCTTGTATTTGACTCAGAGAAGATTCTTGCATCTGGCTGTGTAGCTGCTGGCTATAGGTTTCCTGCTGCATTCCTTCTAAATGCAGTGGTTCCCAAACAGACTTCTCTAGGTCATGAATGTCAGAGTGACCAGTAATGTTCATAACACTGATTTGCTGCGGTTCACAGCTGGCAGATGAAAATTCAGACTCCTGAGTGATCTGCTGCTGCCAGGCATTGGAATTAAAGCTGCTGTCTGCTTTTGAGTCATGTTCTAAAAGAAACACATCTCCTTCTAATTTAACTTTTATATCTGGAGATGATGATATCATTGGCTGTTCTAAAGCTGAATCACTGGCACTTACAACATTAGAATTTAAGGACTGATTTGCCGCAACATTTATTGTTACCTTGCTAGGAACCTGAGCACCTGCTGCTGAGCTCTCTGTTTTTGCTGCAGGGAGAACTTTCTGATCTTTTTTAGCATTACTACTTCCCTTCTGAGCTTCCATGTTACCTGCAGAGAGCTGTTCCACAAGGGGTTTCTTTACAGGAGGCACCTGGGACTCTTGTAATGTAGAAGAGAGTCTCTTCCTTGGACTTTTAGTGCATAATTTTGTGTCTTTATTAGTGGAGTCACCGTTAGATGGTGAATTGGTGCTGGTGAAGGGTAAGTTCTGAGTGGTGACTGAGAGACTGAGTGTGCTGTGATTATTGCCTGAAGTGACTGGTGGCATTTCATTGTAGCGACTTTTACATTTGGTCCTCTGGTCACAGGCCTTAGTTGCTTTTGTTTCGATTACACCTTCATTTGAAGGTTTCAGTCCTGTGCCCTCTGAATTGCTTCTCTGCCCCAAAGATCCACGAGGGGTCACTTTAGCAGCTTTAGACACATCGGAGTTCTCTTGGCACTGTATAGAACTTTCATCTAATAATATCTCTGGTTCCATTTTTATTTCTACAGAGGAAGTTCCCACAGCATTAGTCTTGGATCCAGGAGACTGAAGTGAAACAACAGAACCATTTTTGATGTGGGGAACAGCCCTAGATTCTTCTATTGTTCCAGTTGCACTGTTCACAGAGGGAGAATGTTTAAGAGGGGCACTACTGTTGCTGGGTGTGAGTGATATTGCTGTCATTTTTACCACATTTAGAGAACTCATATGTGGAGCTGGTACAACAGTTTTGATAGGACTGCTTGTAAAGAGGACAGTAGTTGGGGAGCGGATGGTGAGTGCACTGGTGTTAGCTGGCTTGGGTAAGATCTGAGGGTACCGGTGCCGAGCAGAACGATCACCACCAGGACTGGCCGGAACATTCTGAGGAGTCTTTGGTGCCTGTTTCACAGACTGCATGTGCTGGGTGACCACTTGTACATTGAGGGGAAGGACTTTGCCATCTGAAGAACCCATTGGACTTGGAGAAGTTACCAACTGCCTAGTTCTTGGTACCTATTGGAAGGAGGAAAACAAAATCAGATTTAAAGTGTTTAGGATAGAAAGAGTAATTCACAATATATAGAGCTATAGGATAATGTTACGAGATTTACTGGATTTGGTTCTGTTCCATGTAATTAATGCAACACTGTCCTTGCCAATCAAGAACATTAAGGTAAGTTCTAAAATTTCATGAAATATATAAATTAAATTTTAATTATGATTCTCAATTATTGCCCCAAAGTTGCACTCATATGCTACATTATGGTGTGAAGATGAAGTGCTGGTTGGTCCAACTAAGCAGGACATGCTTCAAAATTATTAGCTTCCATGAAAATGGATTCTGTAGACCAAAGAGAAAAAGCCTCTTCACCAGAGGACTGGCCATATGATCACAAACTCTTTTGGCCAAAACAATACAAAACCATTTACTAAGACATGGAGGGATTATATTTTGCTTTAGTTATGTACCGAAATCACAGATCTTTTGAAATACTGAAGGAAGGAAGTACACATGCTTAAGAAAGGTTAATAAATCACATGCTGTTTCTATCTACCTGATACTAGGCACTAACAATTCATTCTTTAGGTGATTTGTAGATCATAGGTATGATCTTTTCTACATTTAACCTGATTTCTGGCTTTCAATCATTACAACTTGGAAGTCGACATGTTAACCATGTTCTGGCAAATATTGTATTCCCATTTTGTGTACAGAGTACTGTCAGACACTTGGTTGAAGGAGAAAGGATAGAGATGCTTTATAAAAGAAGAATCCAATAGAGCTCTATATACATACAACAGATTAAAAAAAAGTTTGCTGAATTAATGATTTTAAGGAGATCACAAAAAGGAAGACATTATCTTATAGATTCCCAATTAAAATTTGGGTTTCAGATATACTTAGGTTCCATCAGGTTTTTGGCAGGGGTGCTTGTGAGAGTCAGGAGAAGGTGTTTGTGGTATGAAATTACAACTTAGGTGAGTCTGCCTTGCAGCTAAGTCTTTTCGGAACTTACTTATCATAATCCCAGTGTTCACATAGCACTTTAGTTTTCAAAGTGCTTTTAGAAAAATATTTTGAAGTAGGAAAAATCCCTTTCAGAAGTGAGAAAACTGAACCCCACAAAGCTTAAGTGACTTGCCCAAATCTTATGACTACAAGTGGTAGAACCAGAACTAGAACCTATTCATTATATGTCACTTCGAGTCTGAGTATGTTTGACAAATTATTCCATTCTAATAATAAAAGAAATGATATTCATACTAGAATGCAACGCCTTTCAGAAATTTCTTGGCTAAGGTATATAACTTCTGACTGCTACTTCCTACCTGTATAATCTTAAGCCTTCTCTGAGCCCATTTCTTCATCTATAAAGTAAGGGATTTGAACTATCTGATCTATTCCCATTCCAATCTCTGTAATCCTTCTAACAGGGAACATGGAATAGTTGAGATCAGAAACTCAATATGTTTAGCACAGAGATAATGACACTGGGAATAGGGTAGGCATGTCTAAGTATATGAAGGGATGTCATATGGACAAGGGATTATACTAGTTTTGCTTTGCTCTGAGGGTAGAACTGAGAACAAAGGATGGAAGCTATTAAGAAGGAGACTTAGACTTTATATAAGGGGAAAACTTCTTAACAATCAGAGCCATTGAAAAGTGGAATGGGTCTGCCTTGGAAGACAGTGAGTTTCTTCTAATCAGAAGTTTTCAAGCAGAGGCTGGATGGTCTTTTCTTGGGTAGGATGTCTAAAGGATTGTTGGTCAAGTACAGCTTGAACTAGATGGCCTTTCGGGTACCTTTCAAACAATGAGATTTTGTGACTGATATTATACTGCACAATATAAAAGTGTTAAAGAGTTCAAAATGGTTGCTTACTTTAAATGGGTACATATGAAGTTATCCAAATGGATTTTTGAAGAGAATTTGTATAGCTGAAAAGTTAATAATTTTCCAGAACTTACTATGTCTGCTTTCCAGGAAACAGCCAACCTAAGTGTGGAAAAGTTTATTGCCAATGGGCTGGCTACTTAGTAATGAATTATTTGGCTACTGCCACACATAAGATAATGAAAAAAAACACAACAATATGATGGTTGGTCCTAAGAGTTCTCCTTTCTTCAGGCTGAGGAAAAAGTGGGGGGAAAGTGCTAAAAAACAGCTTTTAGACTATAAACATTAATTTAGTTTCTGGTATTCTAAATGTAAAATCTTTTTCCTTTTCACTTTATAAATGAATCTTAGCAATCTTGATCTCCCCTACAAGAAAACCAGAAGACAAAAGGAGGTTATAACTAAATGGAAAGCTTCTTGAAGAGGCAAATAAATGAGGTGACAAAGACAGTTTTCATATGAGTTCAAAGGTAATAAATTTCATTTCATGGGACATCTGGTCAATTCTTATTTTTCATGATGAATAACTTCAAGAAGACCACTGTGAAATTGACTGCAGCTTATGCACTAACATCTGTTGCATAAGATGAGCAGGTAGAGAATTCTATAAAGTACTCAATAAGATTCTCCAAGTTAAATGAATACATATTTTGTTACTCAGTGACCTTACTGCAAAAGCGGAAGAAAAGCAAGATTTAAAGTGTGTTCAAAAATACAGTTCAAGAATAATGAAATAGTAATGAAAGAGGCCTACTTAGATATTGCATGCCTATCATAAATATTTTCATTGAGAAATGAACTGAAAAGGGGAAGATATGGTGAGCACCAAAAAACATCTCTGAATCAGAAATTTATTTTAATGGATAGTTAATGTTTCATTATTCAAGGGAGTTATTCCATACTTATATGTATGTGCATATGTACTTATATGTACACATGAAATATGTAAAAGATCTACAAAGATTTTTACAATGAATTTTTAAAAAAATCATCAAAGACAATAGAGCCATTACATTTGGACTGTAACATCACACTCTCAGACAAGTTTCTAAAGGAAGTTGAAATAACATTTAAGAAAATAAAGATGAAAAAGCATGTGGACAAGACCAGGCATATTGAAAGGAAACTAGTGCTAAAAGGCATTGAGAAATCAATTCTCAAGGGATCTGAAGGAGGGGAAGAGACCAAAGGCATGGAAAAAACATCTTGAACTTTCTTACCCCTCCTCCAAAAAAAGGCAACAAAGAAAATATCAGTAATTACTAGAGCACCCGCCTACTTTTCCTATCCATACGAAAACTCCTAAGAATAATCTACACACACACATTGAGGGTATTCTTTATGAGGGCACAGGAAGAGAATAGGCAGGCTCTGACAAGCAATATTGCACGTGAGATAATAAATATTTTAGCATCATAAAACTGACTGGAAACCATTGGAAATATAAGATACTATTGGGCTTATTGTTTGTTGATGATAAAAGAACATTTTATTAATAAAAGCAAAACACTGCCAAGGTGTCTTCTGTCCATATCAAAACTGTATGACATTCTGGTAAAGATACAACAAAGGTAACCTTGTGATCATTCATATCAAGAGAAATAAGAGAGGGAAAACATACACTTGGTCAGGGTGCTTTCTATTGTTATGAAGAAGATTCTGCACATAATCCAAGTTGAAGAAGGATTCTTTAGAGACGGTAAGGTCCACCAAATGATACTGTCCACATACAACATTGTGTTGATGGAATTAAATCATGGAATACTACAAAGCCTCCTAGATAATACCCATAATCACTTGAGAGCAGTTGCCCCAACTACACACAAAGGAAAAACCAAATGTGTATAGAACGTCTATTGTCTAGATTATAATTTGCAGTTAGATGGTCAACCTAAAGTCTTGTCTATCAGTGTATATAATTTTGACAGATATTGCCAATGGACAATGAGTCAGGTCCAGAATTGAATGTATACATTCAAATAGACTGATATATTTCCTTTGCATCAGAAGATGATATTATATCTCACTCTCAAAAGGACAAGAACTTCAATTGACAAATAGTAACTGGTTAATCACTACAATAATAATAACAGCTGACACTTCTATAGCATTTTAAGGTAAACAAAGCACTTTACACAATTATACTATTTAATCCTCACAATAAGCCTGTGAGATAGGTACTGCCTAAGTATCCACATTTTACAAATGAAGAATCTGAGACTCAGATTAAGTGACTTGACTGTAGTCCCACAGCTTAATATGCATCAATAGCAGAACTTGGACCCAGGTTTTATTAACTTTAACTCTAGTATTCCACCTATTATACCATACTATTTTATTATGTTGAGAGCTACATTGTCTCCCCTGCCCTCCTTCTAAACTAAAAACATACTTTTTTCTCCCTAACAAATAAGCATAGGCAAAGGGAAAAAAAACCTACACGCATTTGCTATAACATCATGCATTTTTAAAGACTGGCTCTAACTATAATGTTTGTGGCTCTGAATGGAACTTTTTTTTCCAATGCAAAAAACTGTGGCCTTCATGATTATCAAATTTTTGACCCTGGTCACACTCTAAACAAAAATAACCAGTCCAGACTGTTCAAATAACCTAAAAGTATAAACTAGTAAATGCAACAACTATTTAGTAGGATATCTCACTGGAAATTTTAACATTTATTCTTTTAGAAATCATCTTATATATTTTTACAAAAGAGAATACAAAAGCAGTTGATTTTGTACTGTATAATGTGGCAATAAGAAGTGACCTGGTAGAGTGGACAGAGAATGGATCACAGAGTCTGGAAGACCTGGGTCCAAATGTAACCTCTTGTATCTACTAGCTACGTCATGGTGGGCAAGTCACTTAGCCTCTCAATGCTTCAGTACTTTGTAAGACTTAACACTGTAGAGACGGTGATGAACTGCAATGGGAGAAAAAGTTCTTCATAGGGAAGATACTATGCTGATGAAATCATAAATGTAGTTAAGGGGGGTAGGAAGGAAGGGCCCAAAGATTAGCTATATTATAATGCATTATCAATTGACAAAATAATTACAATATTGAGTAAGTAAAATGAGAAAGCTACTCAAGATAATATTACTGATATAGTATTCTAACTTGTCAGTTATAAAAAGTATGATTCTATGTTGTTTATTTAAATTTTGTAATTTCCAGAAACATTTTACTGAAAGGGTTGAAAAGTGGCTTGATAACATTACCGGAATAGGACTGGGAACAGCTGCCACCACAATACCAATAGGGTGTGGAGAAAGGATTGGAGGATTTCCATTAGAAATACTAGTTACTCCATTGGTTGTAGCTCCTTCTAGTTTCTTTCCTGGAGACTCTCCTGGCAAAGGAGATTGTAGTTTCTGTTCCTGTTGTTTCTTTTGGATTTTCCGTTGCAACTGCTGCTTAGCATCAACAGGAGATGACAGAGTCTTTACTTGAGGCTGAAAGGAATTGCTTTCAGCAGTGGGTATAAAAGCAGAGGGCTGGGTGATTCCTTTAATTCCTGAAATAAAAAAATAAAAAAGCAGAAATTAAATGAAACCTCCTTTACTCTTGACAACAGCTGCAGCCTGATAAATCTGTAATCTGCAACTCAACAAAAGGTAAATAAAGCAATTCAACAAATAAAGTCCCTAAAGTGTGCAGAGCAGTGTTACATACAACCAAAGCATCACATCTAGAAATTATTCCCTTCAGCAACTTTTATACTTCCAATTTAAAGTACATATAGGATTTATGTCAAAGTTTAATATCAAAATAACAAAATATTTTTCACTTAAGTAAGACTTTCTCTGAAGGAAATGACAGGTTTTCAAGGAAGAACAGCTACATTCAGAACTGTCAGAGAGGAACAAACTCCACCACACATATTTTACAAGCTCATCAGTAGACAGTAGTCAAGTGATCTTTAATAATCAACAGTGACGGCTCATCTTTCCATGGGGCTTTAGATTTTATTAAGTGTTTTCTTCGAAGCAAGCAGGTACAAGAAGTGATGAAAAGTGTTTTACAAGGAAGAAAATTCAATCTATTTCTCCAATAAACACATTCTAATATAAGGAAAACTAAGCATATAAATTGTGCTCAATAAAATACTTGCTAACAATCCTCTCCTTAAAAATAAAGCAATTTTATGTTTAACACTATTGCACATGTATAGCCTATATCATATTGCTTTGTCGTCTTGGGGAAGATGGGTGGGAGGGAAGGAAAAAAATTTGGAACTCAAAACTTACAAAAAATGCAATTTTATGAAATTTTACAAATTTATAAAAAATATAATTAAAAAAATAAAATACTATTAAGGAAAAAAATACAGTAATTTTATGAAAATGTGCCTTTGAATCTATGGTACATATCCTGTCACATGTCCCTTAAAAGTATTTCTAGGCCTGCTACTACTACTGTTGCAGAGCACAGAGGGCTGTGTGTGAATCATGAATGGATTGAAACAAGAAGCAAGGCAGAGAATCTCCCCATGATAGATCAGGGATCAGCAGGTGTGAAAGCAGGTATAAAAAGTGTCAGTAGATGAGCAAAGGTGTTTTTCATTCAGCAGTAATAAGAAAAATGCTGGAAGGAGGATAGAATGAAAAGACAGGGAAGAAAAACAGTTCATTATAAACTACATTAGTTAAAATTTTTTTTAAAGGTACTGTCTTAAAATGTTGATTTTAACTTTGGAATATGGCTACAATACCAGCAAAAAGCTGAAATCACTTCATTTCAAGAAAACCTAAAGTTGAGAGGTAATAAAGTTGTAGGGGTTAATAAATTATTTGACCTCCTATTTGAATGAAACTAGCATTTTTGGCAGGAAATTTGACTTAATTTTTTAAAAAATTGTTTATTTGGGAGAATGAGAATAGGAAAAGAATATATATATATATATATATATACCTTGGACACATGTGTATATATTTCAACACAAAAAGGAAATTCCTTGATTAAAATGGCATGTGTAAAAGATATTATGAAATGTAGGGCTAAGAAAGACCAAGAGAAATATGTTTTAGAACTATTGAGCATGGCCATAAAGTTTCAATGAATTTCTCCTAGAGAGGTTATACATTTATTCTAACAACAATCAAAAATGTTTGTAACATCTACTTTGTGGCTTGAGAACCACATGAAAATCAGTTTCATCCCATTACACTCACTCCTCATTTTGAACCAAAACATTATTACTACCCTATTCGATAGAAATGAGGCTGACCTTTAGTTACAGGTTCCTAATTTAGGTATGTCCAAATTATTTAAGTTCCTTACATAAAGGGGGTTTCAGGAATATCCCTTTTACAAACTACTCCTCATACTACTCATATTCCCAGGCCCCAATTCTAAATATTACCCACCATCCCCTCTCCAAAGACAACTGGCCTACCATAAAGGAGGAAAAAAGAGAAAGCCCCCTTTCTGCTACAACTCTTGCCTTGCCTGCCCAGACCTTTTATCTCCATTCCTTGCTGTCCCTATACTAGGTCTTTATTCCTCCCTGACCCAGAAATTCTATTTAACTCTTCATTCCTTTAAACTTTTGACTATCCTCTTTAATCCCTACTTACTTGGTACTCTTGCCCTAGGCCACAGGAAATACCACTAGAGGCTTGGAACTGAGGAAAGCCCTACTCACAGTGACTGGCAGGTTGAACAGGGATAAGAAGAAAGAAGCAGAAATGTATTTCCGGTTTCACAAACTATATTTCTGAATGGATTTCCTCATAATATATTGTTACAAATGGTGGTTGGATTTTATATTATCACTACTGGTGCCATATTTTATATTAAAAAATTATTAAACAGGCTTTTGTGGGAAGGTATGAGAACTTAATCTCCAGGTACAATACTGGTCCCATGGGGAAAATTGTGCTCTGAGAGCTAAATGACCAATACACTGATAGAAGGAAAGAACTAAAAGAAGTTTTATGGATCATCTTGTCCAATTAGAGATGAAGAAGCTGTGGCCCAGAGTTTAAGCCATTTGCATAGGTCAAACAGAAGGCAGTGGAAAATTTCCTCATATTAAATCTATACTGAAAAGACAAAAAGAGTGCTGCCACCTCTGAGAACATTCATAGGCTCTGGAGACAACAGGTATCAATTGTAATTTTCATCTTTTGCTTTATGTTTGACTGGGCCCATGATTTCATCAATGGAGGGACTGATGGTTTGGAAGGTCCTCTAACAATGCAGAGCAACGTCTTCTCAGCTACTCAGCACCTAGAGCACCTCTAAAGGTGATGAGGTGAAAGCACATGCCCTGAGTCACATGGCCAGGAGATGTCAGAGTGAGACCCAAAACCATGTCTTCCTGACTCTGAAGCTAGTTAGCTCACTATCTTCTCAATCACACTCTCTTTTAATTAAATTTGTTGGGGGGAAAAAATCCCTACAATTACTGTGTCATCACATTTCGTGTGTGTGTGTGTGTGTGTGTGTGTGTGTAAATGTGCATATGTATATGTACGTGCATCTGTGTATCTATCCATCTCTCACATATACACATAGTTACTAGCCTTCACAAAGATAATTCTAAAAATCAAGAAGACACAATTGTTTTCAGTAACTACAACACAAGAACCTCCAAAGCTGAGCCCTTTAAAGAATGTATTTTGCGTGTGTTTGCACATGCATGTGTATTAGTTCTAATTCAGATTCATGTTATGCAGTTGAAATCCAGAGAAATGAGTCAAATTATAAACAAACAAGATCTTGCAAAAATATGGGTCCTAAAATAATCTTGAAATAAGAGCAATAAGAACAGAACACAGACATTTAAAATTTTTGGTAGATGTATTTTGACAGAGAAAGTGATTCAGAGTTCATTAGAGACTAGATAAGCCACCAGAAATATATGAGGTATTTCTTAATTGTCTACATTTCCATTGAGATATAATTTCATAATAATATTCTATAGAATTAGGATGGACTTAGCTTGTATGTTAATAAACTTTTTATGTAAAACTGTATTTTTTCTTATTTCCAACAATAAACTGATTAAAATTTGAGCTACCTTCCATAAGTATGCAAAGTATAAACTATAAAATAATGGCTTAAAATAAACACACCAGAATTTAGATATGTAAATGAGTGCTGTCCACTTCAAAATAATGACATTGGGAGGCTATACAATCGTTGCAATGATGCTGCCATTGTTCATAACATATCTGAAATTGCCTTTATGCTCACCACACATTCTTCTGATTATCTTCAAAAGCGGTGAATTTTCATCTGCTAAGGGTGCATTTTTTTAAACTGGCTAAAAGTCAGAGACAAGTCTAATAAAGTGAATGCTGAAACTGGCTAATATAGTTCTTAGATTAAAATAAGGTGTGATTATAAAGTAATTAGGCTAATTTTATCATTTGGCTTCCAAAACAGCTCTGAAGGTAACTCCAAAAACTCCAAAAATATTTTGTATTTTTAGAGCAGTGTATAGCCTCCCGAACAGACTCATTTAAAGAGGAAATTTTTGAATGCATAAGTTCTGGTATTAATAAGTTTAAAAATCAGTCTCATCATGCCTGTCACATCATATATGTTTGTATCCTATTGAAAATAAAAGGTTCCTCTCTCAAGGAAAGTGAAAGTCATCATAATTAAAAACAATACTTTCTTAGGGAGAAATTTATTTGAAAAAAAGTCTTTAAATTTTTAAATAGCAATGATAATAGGAATTAATAAAATTCTATCAAGTTAACCTTAAAATTTTTCATAAAGCAGCACAGCAGCACACATACACAGAAATAGCTTTGCATACTAAGAGCTACATTTTATCCCACTATCCATTTTTGAGGCTTACCAAACTTCTTGAATACATTGGTTAATCACAACAAGAGAGCTCTCATCAAATTATCTTAACACTAAGGAGATGAGCCAGCCCCTTCTGGCTAAAATCTTCTTTATATCAATTCTAAATATAACAGCTATTTTTGACTAGTCAAGACCTCTGGGTTAGTTTTAGCTTTCTAACAGTAGTTAATTTAGTACCTGCTGGTGCTGCTGCCATTACAGTTAGAGCTGCCATCGATTTGGTGCCTATGTAGTGACTTTTTACAAGGAAGCGAGCTAATTCCAAGACTGAATCAAATGGCTGGCTTAATACTTTCTGGGCCCACTCACACACAAGGCGGCAGGCAGCAGAGATAACTTCCTCATCAACAGTTTGGAGTTGCCCGGAAGGTTCGGCTCCTTCCAACTAATCAAAGGAAAAAGGAAAAGTTAACTTTCAGAAAGCTCAAAGAAAAATTCTATTCAAGTACATTTAGAGAACATGCATCCTCAATATATAAGCAATAAATCAAAACCTAAGATTATTGTACAAAACGAATGAAATTAGCTGATTACTATAGCCATGAAAATGGTAAGGACATGCTCACAAGCATCAGAAATAATACAACTGTGGTTATAAATTATGAAAAGGGGTTTGTGAAAACATGTACATAGTATGCTAATATTTTCTAAAGCCACTAAAACTATTATGTTCTATTTTACTGTTAATTACAAATAATTTGTTATAGGCTATAGTGCATTTTGTCTCTGTGGAGTGTTTATTTTAGTTTCTTAAAGGCAGTTTTTGGTGCTACTTTTGCTTATATCTGACTACACTACATGAGTTTCAATGCTGATGTTAAATTGTCCATTTCTAGTAAAAAGTCAAAAAGTAAACAAAACAGATGTCTTACCCCATCTCCACTTTTATGAAAGTCAAGGTTGGGCAGTGTTGGCATATGAACAAAAGCTTTTTTCCTTAGTCCACTGTAGCAATATGTAATATAAAGAGTTAAGTGCTAAAATACTCTTCAATAAAAATGGATTACTTTCAATATTTTCCAGGTAATCACGTAGAAATCAAAACATTATTCAGTACAAAGTAGTGTCTACCTTACTAAAACCTTTAATAAAATCAAATTTTCAGTATAATGTGAATCCTCTTAAACTGAAATGGACATGGTAAAATTTTACTCATCTGAAATGAAGCTAAACAACTGTCACTAGCTATAAATTTATGGATAAACTGCCCTGTGAAGTTGTGCTAATTCAGAGAAACTGGTCAGCAAGGGAGGAATAGCCAAATGGAAACCTGGCACAAAGAAGGGAAAACTCTTGCTGAGGCACTTAGCCAAAACATCCCTTAAGAGTGTCACAAGGCCTCTAACCTTCTCTCTCCCCTGACGCTTCTTCCACCATAACATATAAAATTCTCATCTTTATGACGATAAAGACACATCTGGGCACACTTGATTATGTTCAGGAGCCCAGGAGGTGAAATCCTTAATAGGTCCGGAAAACAATAAATGGTTAATAAAAAACTGGACTGGTTTTTAAAAATAGCACAAGAGCAATCTCATTTTTCCTTTCTTCCCATTTGTCCCATATTAGCTAATTTTCTTGTTATTATGTCATCAAAGACAGCTATATATTTTCCAAATGATGCAAGATCTCCTTCAGAAACCTTATCATACATTTTAAATGTTTCCCCAAGTTTCACCTATATTTGGTTTTCCTTCTTTACACATTTTATTCCCCATTACAAGGTCAGGTTTTCTTCTGACTTGACCTTCAGTTTTTATCAGTATATGCTATAACTGTCAGGCTGAACATTTTTTGATGCCAATCTTTCAGTTAATAGTACATTTTGCTACAGCATTTGTGTTTTTGTAGCAAGATGCTTTAAGTTCTAAAGCTATGAAGGAACAAGAGGATGACAGTATAAAGATCAGCATTTCTCTTTCATTTTGTTAATATGCTAGATTACTTATTGAACTATGAAGTATCTCAAATATATTTACTTCTAAGAACATAAGATCAGACCACTAATAAATACAGTGTTAAGAAGTAAGGCAAAGCTACCTTACTGTCCTGATACATAGATGAACTAATCTTTTTTTTAAAGCTGTTCCTCTTGAAGTCTGATGATAGCTAGAAAACCAAAATTTACTTTTTTTTTTAGTTGTTTGCATTTGTTGATTTAATTTTGTTTCTAAATTTAGTTAGTGGTTGAACTACAACAACAGATGTTCTGTAAGCAAATGCTGAAGAGATTACTGAAAACTGTTCTAGTAAAGGATATTTTGATTTGCCTCTTGTGCCCAGGCGGCGTGCCTTCATATTTGGAAAGACGTTTTTCATGATCTTTCCAAAGTCAGCAGCACTTAATGGATGGTAACCAAGATTGTCGCAATAGCTTCTGTAAAAGAGGGAGGGGTGGTTTAAATAATACCATAACTTAGTACTATATAGCATGGAGTTGCCTTGAATACCATTCTTATCCTTTTTTTTTCTTTAAAGGGCTAAACTGATTACCAAAAGTCAATTATCCCCACTTTTAAATGATTTTGATTTTATTTATTATTACTACCTACAATAAGAAGTCATCTTAGGGTAGGCAGCTGATTATCTCCACAGGGTTAAAATATAGCTTTCAAACAGTATTTGTGGAACCTAAAGAATCTGGTGAATAGTAGTGTTGCAGAGCTTTCCATTCTCACTCCAAATGTCTCTTCCCCAATAAATATGCAGAAAATATGACTGTATGATTTAACACTGTTCATTCAGCGTGCTGACCAAAGCAAACTGCATCAAATCACTACAAATTCAGTTGCCAATGTCATTAATCACCTTTATGGTTTGAACAACTCAGAAAGAAAATATGAACTAGTTAAAAAGAAAAAGGGAATCTAGTACACAAGAACTATGCCAAAGAAATTCAGAAGCAAATGTAAATAAAACTAGACTTAAAGAAACAAATACAAGACAAAAATTATCTGAGCTGAGGAAAACAAAATGAGGCTTCAAGGAAATCAAGGCAAAAGAAAAAAGGCCCAGGCAATTACCCCAATAAGAAATTTAAAATACTTGCTCTCTTCTTTTTATTCTCTGGATTTGGTAAGACTCTGTGGTAATATATCAACTATAATTTTCTTCAGGCAATATATTTCTAGTTTCTTAATATAGTTATATGGGAAGCAAAAGGAGCAAAGTTAGATGTGTGCAACGTAGATTCAAATTTCCTCAGTAAGGCAGAATTCATGAAACCTAGTGATTTTACAAAACTACAGCTTGACATGATGGCACATGCCTATAGTCACACCTACAAGAAAGTCTAATTGAGCTTACAAATTAGGAGAAGCAATGGGATAAATTGATCAGATGTCCATACTAAGTCACATGATGAGTCACCAGGAGTAAGGAGGTCACTAGACTACCTGATAGGAGAATTAGTGCAGGACAAAAACACAGCAGGTGAAAGCTCTCATGCTGATCAAAGAGGGACAATGCCCAGGAACTGCCCTTACACTTCCAATCTAGGTGAAATATGGAGAGTCAGTCTCAAAAAATAAAAAACAAAACCACATGAACAGCAGAATTCTGTTACTTTTTACTTTGGCTCCCACTAGAAAAATAAGTTATAGACTACCAAATGCCATTGTTATTTTGATAAAGACAATGGTTTTATATTTTGAAGGAAAGTATATTCTAGGAAGAAGATATTATATGCCATTTTGTAAGTATGTAAATAGACATTAAATAATGAAGCTAGGTGGCACAACGGGGGCAGCTAGGTGGCACAGAGTGTCAGGCCTTGAGTCAGGAAGACTCATCTTCATGAGTTCAAATTGGGCCTCAGACACTATCTGTGGCATCCTGGGCAAGTCTCTTAACCCTGTTCGCCTCGGTTTCCTCATCTGTAAAATAGCTGAAGAAGGAAATGACAAACCACCCCAGTATCTCTGCCCAGAAAACCCCAAATGAGGTCATAAAGAGTCAGACACGACTGAAAATAACTGAACAACAAGGTCAAATAGTAGACAATGCCAAGAAGCAAACAACAATTATGACTCAACATCCTACATTAATAAGTAAAGCATACAGCATTTTATATATATCCAGTATAAACAAACTAGGTAAAAAGAGGTAACAACAGGGTCTTTATTTTTAAAAAATCACAAAGATTTTCATTGCCTGTGCTAATCTCATTTTTACAGACTCTTCAGAAGCTAAAAGCAGCCTTCAAGATCCTCTAAGTTCCCATCTGATAATAAAAAGTTCCTTCTAAAAAGCCTAATGAATCTCTCTGGGCATCAAGACCCTTGAGCTCTAATTTTAGCTGTGCCACTAGTCAGGTGTGTGGCCACAGCTTAGTTTGTTAACTTCCATCCACCTCAGGTTGCTCACTGTAAAATAAAGAGCTTGAACTCCATAAGCTGTAAGGTGCCTTTCAGCTTCAACATTCTACGATTCTATGACCAGATGATCTCGGAGATCTCTTTCAGCTCCAAAATTCTTCCAATATAAAGCAGATGGTCATCAAGCCTTTGATTGAACCAGTGGAAGGTCACGGAACATACTGCTTCCCCACGTAGCCAATTTAAGGAACGTTCTTCTTTATTACTGAACCAAAATGCTTCCCTGAAACTTCTGCTAGATCCTCATTTTGTATTAAAAAAAAAAAAACCAAACCCCAAAAAACTAAACCTAATTCAGCTAACTCAATTTGATCACTTACTATCATTTTTAAAGCAGTGCTATAAAGCACAGGGTCATTTCAGGATACTTAGAGATCTTTTATTTTCATGTTTAACAATTTAGATTGCATGTGGATTGAACAAGAAATGGTGTCACAACACCTAACTCAGCGTTAACTTATATTTATGCAGTATATTCAGAGTGAGAAACAATATGTTCACAGTACAACATACTGTTATTCTTAAAATTAGATCATTTGCTTTTTTTTAAAGGGTGTATCTCATGATCTAGTTTTTAAACTAAACCTAAAAATTTCTTAACCTGGTTCATTTCACTCTATTAAAGATAATTCAATTTATAACAGGCATTATATTTCTACATAATGCATGTATGTACTTGAAAGAGCCCCAGTAATCAATATTACACTTCACAAATTATTTAAGGCACAAAAGAAGTGGCAGGAAGTAGGAAGGACAGTGTGATTGTGGGCCCCAATAAGAATGGAAAATATGTTTAACAGCTACAGAGAATACTGCATGACATAACAGATAAGAAGACCGTAGTTAGAGAGAGGAAGCAATAAGTTGTAATAATATCTCAGGATTGTTATGATCCTAAGTGATCACTAAGACTACAGTACCGCCATGATGATCTGGAATAAGTATCAGATTCAGTGGAGTGCAAAAAGAACTGTGGAAAGAGTGGAAGGAGAAGACTATGAGGGCAATGAGCTGGATGGATCATCAACATGAGTTGTAAGGACTGAAGTGGAAAGAAAAACTTAAAACCAAGTGCTAAATTTATCCAAGAGGGATATATGTCCTAGATATGTCCTGGAAAATGTGGAGACAATGGTAAAGTGGGAGACGTAGGAAACACATTCACTTGTATCTGCTGGTATTTCATAGGAATGAGCATGGTACGTGACTAATATCTGGTTCCCTTAGGTAACTTGGAAGAGTGGTAAGAACAGAAATTGGACTGTACTGGATTGAGGAATAAGTAGTAAGGAAGCAGATACACAATAACCACTCATTGTTTGACCATGAAAAGACTAGAGGTATATTGACATTTGGAAAGCAAGATGTAGGATACATGGGCACATTTATGTGCTACATCTTATGGCACAAAGGGAAAAAATACTGGACAAGGAATCAAGAAATTTGGGTTCTAGATCCAACTGACGAAGACCTTGGTTATTAAAACTGCAGGCCTGTTTCCTCATCTGTAAAAAGGGAGGGGTTTGGTCTATAATATCTCTAAGGACCCTTTGGCTCTCAAACTCCATGAACCTACTCTCTCTCTTCCTCTGAGACGATGAAAGGATGGATACAGAAAAATACGTATAGAGAAAGGGGAAAAAGGAATTTTCCTTCCTAGCTCAGGTCATGTCTGCTATAGGATACTAGGTTATATGCATTTCTGGAGTCTTTACATAAAAGAAATATAGAAAGAGGAAGTAAATTCATCCCTTCCAGTCAAAATTATTTAATTATGTGTTTGGTAGGGAAGAAGGGAAGAAAAACGTTACTATAAGAGGAAGCTACTTGTCCTTTACAGGGCAGGAAGAAATTAGGAGACATAGACCACCAAGAGAATGTGACTAAAATGTACCACCAGAAAATCACATACTAATCTACTTTGTAAAATATCATTGAATGCTTTAGCTTTTGAGCAAAAAGGGGTAAAAAGAAACACATCATATGCCAACACCTGGCATGAAATGCAGCATGGTACTATGCAATGAACAGTGACTTCAGAGTCAAAGGACTTGAACTGAAATCCTTTTTCCACCTCTTAGACTGTGCCTCTGTGAGGAAGGAAGCCTTTTATTCTCTAGCAACCTTAGTTTGCTTATCTGTAAAGTGAAGGGTTGGATGAGATGACCTCAAGTCCCTTCCCACTCTAAACCTATAATCTCTCCCATTCTACCTTTGGAGAATGCACAGCAGCTTTTAGGTAACAATGCAAAGAATATATTTTTACCATATTATTGATAATATAAATGTGAATTTTCGTATTAAAAGAAAATTCTCAGAGACATGATGCAATTACATCTAAATGCCGTATTCCTTATATTTACCTATGATTTGTGAACAAAAATTGATTTTTGGTTGCAATGTATATTTCCAATTACAGAAATGAAATTATTTCTTAAAATTGAGGCAGAACACCTTGCAGATGCTCACATATTTAAACATTCTATTTCTAGATACAGCAGTTATTGCAAATTAATATTAGACATCATTCTGATGTTTATATAGGTCTAAATAACATTTATCTATCAATCACTCATTATACATTTGATATCTTAATCTTCCTAAGTAAAGAAAAAGTATATTAATACGATTAATTATATCATTAAACTTCTCAGGATTTATTTTACCTTGACAAATATACAGACACCTGACTTGGTTGATAAGTGAGAATAAGGATGTTAGTGGAAGTTACACATACATGTGAAAAGATTCAAACATTTCTTATTCCTTTGAGCAATTAAAAAATTATCAACAAATAAAATGACTATAGAAAAAGAAATGCATGAGTGAATGAGTATCACGTAGTCATAATATAATTAAATTTTCAACAAGTAAACATAACAGTTTTCCACTGAGCACTTGTAATTTCACAGACTGGCAGTTAAACTGATTTTTTTGGTTGCTAAATCAAGAAATAAATTATTTACCAAGAAATTCATCTACAAATAATTTTTATACTTCTTTCTTGTGTGATAACAAGAGAAATAATAGTTATTGCCGCTGTCTTTTATTTTTTTGCTGAGCATTTACATACATCAGAGATTTAGGATTGGTTCATTCCATTAGCTTTCCCTACTGGTTCATATTTGAAGATCACAGATATTATCTCTAGTAAAGTTTGGAAATATACTCATAGATGTTTAAAGATGATTTGATTACAATTTAACAAGCACTTATTTAATGACTACTTGCTACATGAGAGGCACTGATGGACACAAAAAAACCCCCAGGAAAACAGTCTCTGCCCTTAAAGTTTATACACAAAGAAGACAAGCAACCAAATAAGTAAATACAAGATTGTCTGAAGAGGGAGAAAGTAGATAACAAATACAAGGAGGGTAGTGGGCCACTTGGGGGATGCAGCAATTTCTTGCAATTGATGTATGAACTTTAAAATACATAACTCATATTTTAGGATCCACAAAATTTAAAACCTTAACTTGAATTAAAATTTAAATTAAAACCTATATTTAAAATCTTAATTATATATAACATTTAGTGAAATAAATGTACTGATTAAAGATAATAAAACAGTAAAGACAATATTAAAAGGTTAGCCAAAATAAAGTAAGTGAAGGAGGCTGTTTCTGCTACATTATTTTTCAAAGGGAGATCAGCAACAGCTACTATTTCATTTGTTTTAGCTCTCTCAATTGACAAAACAACTCTTATCAATCAATCTGCACTGACTAAGTGCCTACTAAGCACCTGGCACCATACTAGGTGCTGGAAATACAAACAGAAAGAATGAAACAATCTCTACTCTTAAGGAGTTGTCATTATAACAACATGAATAGCTTCAATAAGGACAAATATAAAGGATACTAACACAAAAATTGCTTCTACCCAGTGAATTGCAGGGGGGCTGATTTTGAGCTTCAGAAGATTCCATTATTATTTTAATAGGAGGAAGTCTAGTTTTTAATTAAGATCTGTGTTAATCTTAATTAATACAAACTTCAATTTTAAAAATTAACTTTAGAAATCATCTAATGTAAAAACCCAAACTCCACAAGGAACATACCTTATTGTCAAGAAGATTTTTTTGTATATTTAACCTAAATCCTTCTTGCTGTGATTTAAACCTCCTGATATTTTCTAAGTGGAATTTGAAAACTTTGTCACCATACTATCCCACTTATATAGATCAAAACTTAAATCAGGCAGTTTCTTCAGTCTATTTTCTAACCCTTTTATGTCTTTCTATCTATCTACCGTAATCTTCCAAAACTTTCACATTTGTCAAGTTGTATAGGCCCAAGCTAGACAGTATATCTACATGCTATCATTTCAATATATCCAAAAGCTACAATTTCACTAATGTGGGCATTTCCTCCACTTACGCAGACTGAAACTGTGCCCTGCTAGACTGCTTCTTTGAGTTGTGGTGCTGGTAGAAATGCCTCCCTTGGCAGCAAACCTTGGTGTTGTGCATCCCTCCAAAGTGTTATGCTGATTCCCAGATGAGATATTTAGTTGGTTGTCAAAACCTTTCTGTATTGGTGGAACTAACCAAAACTTATACTCCATTGGCACAGCCTTTAAGAACCTTAGGGTCACCTCTACAATGCAATGAAACATTGGGGTAGGACTTGACTAGAGACGTACCTGCCATATTTCTATATCAGCAACTCAACAGCATGTTTATTTCTTAGGAACAGAGTCATTGGTTAATACATGTCCACTTTGATGCAGACATTTTAATATTTCATAAATCACTTAGCCTTTATTTAAAGTTTGTTCTTCTACATTAAATGAACTGTTCTTCACTAGTGCATATTGGACTTTGTTTCTAACCATTTCTCTAACTCATCTCTGTCTTATAACGATATGAGCTATGCCACTCAAGTTTTATGTCAATAATTTTTAACAAGGATCCATTTTCACTTAAATCACTGATAAAGTTAAAATTAATGATTTTTATGATATTAAAAAAAATTAAGGAACTTCTGCCGAAGTCCCTAAAGTCCCTTGAAAGGTAGTGTAGGGTAAAGTATTTGAGGTTAAATAAGGAGACTAGGTTCTAATACTACCTCTGCTACCACCAGTGTGAGGATGGCCAGGTTAATTATTCTCTGAAGGTCTCAGGTCCTCTTCTGCAACATGAACTGGATGAGTTAATCTTGAAAGTCCCTCCCAAACACATATTCTATGATTTTGTTACAACCCACAGCAATATGTTAAATAAGTCCTCTTAGGTTCCTTGTTCTTTTAAATGAGGTGAGGATATGTAGGATATCTAGGTTATATATTTGGGGGAATAGGCAGGATCACAGATACAGCAGTTATTTGTATTAACTAAAGCAACTTATACACAGCAAGCATTTAATTAAAATTTGCTAATTATTTATGGAACTATATAACCACTCTCCCTAAACTACATCAATACTAGTGGCACTGGTTTCTTCTTTTCCTAGTTTCTGTCATATACTGCCCACCTCATCTATATTATCACGTGTTTCCTAACCTGCTTCTTTCTAGAACTCTATTCTCTATTTCCTTTCTTATGATCATCTCTGCTACCTTCCTGTTTGGCCAAATTTCCACTTTTTTGAAAGAAGTTTATAAAGATTTGTAGGGATCCTAAATAAGTTTGTGAACTTAAAAACCCCAAGTCATTACCTTTAGCGCTTATTACAGGATTGTGCATAAGGAAGAAATTCATAATGGAGTGTTATAAAAGGTCCAGTCTATGCTACAACAGCACAAAGGGATGTGACATAGGAAGGCAAAGTTGTTCTCTTTGATATTAGCTTCAGAACATTAGGGATGTATCTCTCCCTCCACCAAAAATACAAACAAACAAAAAAAACCCAAAACCCAACCTAGTTTCCCTTCATAATCTATTACAAATCTGTCATTTATTACTTTATCCAAACCTTTTTTGAAGATTTTTTTTTGCCAGTAACTAGGTTCCTCAAGTTTACTACCTGCTGTGCACTTCCATTTATTTCTCCCAAATTTCTCTCTTTAAAGCTTCAAAGGGTGCCCTCACATTCTGTGAATTGCTGAATAAGTCCATGTTCATCCATACCATTCATGATTTTAAAGACTTCAGCTTGGTATTCACTGATAATGAAGCAGACAACAGTATGTGAGAACTGTATAATACTCAAATCCCTTTATGTATCCGAAGACCCAATGCTTGCACATCGTACTTACTTATATTCATCATAGACTTCCTGCTTAGGGAGTGAAGTCTCAGGATGCTCCTCCAATGTATTTCGAATCCAGGAAAAGGCATGCATTTGCTGGGCACGGCTTGATGACACGGAACTCTGATCGCTGGTCACAAAACAAAGATATATTTTAGCTGAAATAGTGCCTTACTTTGCGACTTTTTTAGACAAACCTAAACTTTCTTCTACAGGACAGCCTGAGAATAAGAAAAAGCCAAACTTATAATAATTGGTCAATTCCTGATAACATGTAGCAAGGAAGGATTCTTCAACTGAAGTAACAATACTTCACCATTTCCACCTCTCTTTTCTACCTCTAATAGTCAGGGCCAAATGTCCTGCAAAGATTATGTTTATTTTTTTTCAATTAAAAATTCATAACAGTGTTTCCCTAAACTGGCCAAGAGATGTAGAACAGACAGTACACACATATGATTTAGTAAAAAATAAGCAACTGGAAGTTTTGGTGACAATCTGTTTTGCTTGAATTTGTTAGACTGTCAAATTTTTGATAAACTGACAAAAAGAACTCAGTTTTTGGTTTATTTTATTTTTAGGAAAATATACAACATACAGAGTAATTGCACTAGAAATCTAGCTCAAAATAGAATATGTGATAGGGAGCAAAATTCAACATTAAGCAGATCTTTGTTACATAGTAATTTCCTTAAAAATGTTATGAAATGGGCAGTAGAAATATAATAACATTAACTTGAAGCTATCAATTTGAGTTCTATATAAGGAAAACTTCTTATTCAATTAATTAAAAAAAAACCACTAAGTAAACCATAACATCTGATCTTAAGTGAATTTTTTTTCTTTCACATATATACCCCAGAACAAACTGAAACATTATCACCATTGAAAACTATTGCAGATAAAATGAACTGAAGAAATATTTGAAAAGAAAAAGCAGACTGCTAAAGAATAGGAATACGAAAGAATACTGCAATAAGTGTATAGTGTATAAGATAAAAAAAAGAAAGACTGAGGGAGAAAATGCAAAGAAGACTTATAATTAATAATGGCTAATATTAGTTTTGAAAATTAAGGGTTGCAAGGGACTTCAGAAATCATCCAGTTCAACCCTACAGCTGAAGCATGAATCCTCTCTATAACAATCCTTAGTAAATGCTCATTTAGAAAAAAAGAATTTTTTCTAAGTCATCTGTTTTTTTCTCGAAGTCTTATAGAGATGATGAACTCATTGCTTCTTTGAGACAGTGGATAGCTCCTAATTGTCAGTAAGTTTTTCCTTATTTTGCTTAGAAATTTACCTTTATTATTTCTACCAACATATAATATCTGTGTCTTCTGGAGCTAAACAATATAAGTCTAATCTTTCTTCTACATGATAACCTTAAAATATCTCAAGATAGTAATCATCATGTCCTCCTTCAGTCTTCTTTTCTTCTCCCAGACTAAATGTCCTTTACCAACCTCATCATCCTCCTCTGTGTAAGTTTCCAACTGATCAATGTCTTAGGACTTCATAATCCCAGTTTAATCTGATAAGACTGAATAACATCAACTGAGAATGCCATAATGCCTGAAATCAATAGTAGTGTTGTACTGAAATTTTGGTAGATAATAAAACTAACCAAGCAAATAAATTACTTCACAAAGCAACCTGTTCTAGTGCTAGGTAGTTATAGCTGTTATAATGTTCTTTACGTTAAATTAAAACCTAGGGGCAGCTAGGTGGCACAGTGGATAGAGCACTGGCCCTGAAGTCAGGAGGACCTGAGCTCAAATCTGGCCTCAGACCAAACATTTGACACTTACTAGCTGTGTGACCCTGGGCAAGTCACTTAACCCCAATTGCCTTAAAGAAAAAAAAAACCTGCTTATATTTTTTATCCAGTGGTCTCAGTTAAATTCTCTGAAATGACATATAACCACTTTATTTTTTTTAAATCACAAGATAGTCATTTAAATATCTGAAGGGAACTATCATATCTCTCCTTAGTCTACTCTTTTATAGGCTAAATATTCCTTTTAATTTTTATCCATCTGACATGGTTTTCAGCCTCCACATATGAGTCACCACACTGTGGACCCACTCTGAGTTCTATATCCCTCTTAAAATGTAGAATTTGCAATTGAATACAATACTCCAGAATGATTTGTGACAAGTAGAGTCCCATAAAGAAGTCCCATAAAGAATTATATTTCTTATTAATGCAGCTCAAGATTCTGTTAGCTTTTTAAATGGCCACATTAAACAACTGACTCACATAAAATCTAGATTCAAAGTATCAACTTCACAGGGACAAAACTGGGAAGGAGTGGTCATACAGCAGTTTGTATGAAAAAGAATCTGAGGGTTTTGGTGAACTTCGACTTCAATATGTGATAGGACAGCTAGCATCCAGAGAAATAACCCCTACAGAGAAACTTGGCAACTGCTTCTAAGGGTGCTGTAGTCCTTCTTGCCTCCTCAGCAGCAATAGCTACTCAAGACTCAGAAAAAAACAGTTGTTGCCACCAGACTCCATGGCACTGTCAAACTGTTCAACATCATAAACTTGTATGATCTTATCAGTAGAAATGATATTAAAGAAAATGAATTACCACTCTACCCTATGGAATATGAAACCTTTGATCTGATTTACATCTGCTGTCTCCCCCATACAAGTATAAGCTCCTGCAAAGCCCAGTACTGTTGTACTTTTCTATTTGTATCCCTAGTACTTAGCACAGAGCTTTACACAAAGTAAGCACTTAACAATGCTCATTCATTAATTAATTCATTCAGGAAAGTTAATATATTAAGTTGTACTGAGAGAAACAGAGTTCCCTCAAAGAGTAAGGACATGGCAGTTTTGTTGTTCTCTGTCTGGTGAGATAATATCTAAAGTAATATGCTCTGTTTTGGACACTACATTTTAGGAAGGACACTGATAAACTGGAATGCCCAGGGAAAGACAACCAGAACCACGAAAGGACTCAAGGTCATGCCACATGATGACTGGAGGCAGGAAGTAAGAATGTTTGGCCAAAAGAAGGCTTAGGGGATATGACAGGTATCTTCAAATTTATTTGAAAAGCTGTCTTGTAGAAGAAAGATTAGGCTTTTTCTGATAAGCTCCAATGGGCCTGATATAGAGAGAAACTCCATAACAACTAGCACTGTTTAAAAGTGGAAGTGCTGCCCTAGAAGTGGGATATGGGTCCCCTTTACTAGAGGTCTTCCTAGGAGTGTTAGATGTCTGCATGTCATCTATGCTGCTGAGGGGTTTCTTGCTCAAGTATAGGTTGGACTAGATAATCATTGACACTCCCTTCCAACTCTGAAAGTCTGATTTGTGATTTGAGGCTGAAGCCAGAAGGACAACACTCAAAGCAGATAAGCAGCAAGTTCAGCACAGAAACACAGGGTTCTGTTTCATTTGGTCAGAAATAATTTCGATCAGAGATAAATCCAAGTCTTCACCTACTTTATTACTGTGCAATGAAAGGATAGACATGAGGCCATAAAATTTCATTCGTGACAAGGTTTTTGTTCCTTTTCACCTGATAATTACTGGCATCACTTTTACTATGCTGTTTCTTTCATATATGTTGGTCTTCATATTTACCTTTGTTTTTTTTATCTGGGCTTTTGCCCCTCTCTCCTCAAAAATTAAATTTAAAGCCCTCTTGTTCAGTCTGGCAAATTTACCAAATACGTTCTTCCTAAGCTATCAAGTCTTTTCCACAATCTCATCATTATGGGATCATAGACCATAGCCGAGAAAATTAAACCCTTCTCTTTGACAACATCAACTTCCTAGGTTTTCTTTTCTCTTTCAAAGTTACCACCATCAATGCAAAGAAGACATGAAAACACTACTTGTGCTCCTAATTCTTTCAGTATCCTACCCAGAACTTGAAGTCTCCATGGATGCATTCCATACATCTTCTAACTACATCACTGGTACCCAAAAGTCAGCAGCAACTGGTGGATTTATGATTCCCATTAAGCTCTCTGTCACAGCTTAAATATATGTTCCTAGGAAATAGCATATCTCCCAATTTACCATGACAAGTCTGACATACAGCCACCTGTGAAGTACAGTCATCAAGTATACTGATAAACTGATGTCTATGAATTCCTCTAAGGATCTGTGAAGCACAGAATGGTGCTGTTTCTTCAGAATTATTCTTCACAATAATTGTAAGACTCCAGTGGTATAGAGGAAGTTCATTATTTCCTTTGAGATTAAGCTTTCTCACAAAAGATTCCATTTTGGGGTAAGAACTAGCTGGGCAAAGTATCTTCTGAGTACTGAAAGAAACTGAGACAAGGGCATGGAAAGGTAGGTGGGGTGCTGAAAATACCAGGTTGAAGATGGTAGCAGTAAGATCTCATAACTTGATTATGATGAGGTAACAGTCTAGGCAGGTAAAAACAATGCAGAAAATGATAAAGAAGTAAGACCATAACAACCAAGCAGATTTCATAAAAGCCTTATTTAGTCTGATAAGGAGAGATCTAGAGGAAGTACTAGTCTTCTATTCTGAATATTATATTTGTAGGTATAGCATTATGCTTTTTAAGGTACTTTTTCATTATCATCTTAATAAATTCCTACATTCCTGTGATATTGGTTGGGCAAATAGTAATATTCTCATATCATAGATGAGGAAATTAAGGCACAGAGACTAAAGTCATTCACCAAGGTTACATACTTATCTAGCATAGGAATAAGTACTGAAACCCAGATCTCCTTGCTTCTTATCTTACAACCTTTCCTTTAGATCACACTTCCTTTAGAAGTTGGAAATGTGATGTAATATGAATGCTCGGGTTTATATGAATAAACTATGTTAACTTCAGGATGTCATAAACCAATCTCCTTTTTTCATTAGAAATTAGGTCTGAAATAGAATATCATTTTAGAACATTCCTTTATGCCTTAGGATATTTAGATTTCTTTAAGATCTATTTGCCCTCATTCCTAGAAAATGACACATAATGATAGAAGTAAAAGGCTAAGTCTCTTCAGATATAGGGCCTGTGACGGCTAGGGATTCTGCTGACCTTGCAGAGATTTGGAATTTGAGTGATGGGAAGCCTTACGTTCCTGGGCCCCTTTGATCACAGCTGCCTTATTTCTAGCATCACAAGTTGAAGAGATATTCAGCTTCTCTTGAAAGGCAGCCCTTTCCAGAACAACAATTGTAAAGGTCAGACATTTGACCACAGTGGTACTTTGAGGATCTGCTCTGTTGCTGTCGGTACTCCATTTACCAATACATATGGAACTTAAGACTCAGTGGATACTTTTAAGAGTGTGGTGGCAGAAAATATCATTATCTTCCATCTAAACTGGTATACTTCTACAACTTGGCTAGGCTGTTAGTTGAATAAAAGACATAAAGCTTTTCATTAGATCTATTCTCAAAAAATTTCCAATCTGGGAAGCTGGCATAATCTTCAAGAACCCAGAATCATCTATACACCAAAGTAAAGCATGAGAGGACTTGAATGGAGAGGCACAGAGACAATGAGCCCTTTCTTGTCCTAAATGTTCTCAACTCCTTTGATGAACAAGTAACTTTCATGAAAGGAAACATCTATTTTGGTCCAGGTATCCTGGTAAGCCTATACTTGGGTAAAAACTGGATATGTCATACAGCAGTGGTATCAAACTCAAATAGTTAGAAAACCATAAGTTAGCAGTATCTGTGCTGTACTGTATTTTTATTTATTTTGTCAAACATTTTCCAATTACATTTTAATCCGGTTTTATCCCACTCATTTGTGAGCTGTACCAAGCCGAATTTTGTCACCTCTGCCACAGTATCTATATGCTTTAACTGCTAAAATCATATGGGCTCATAGCACAATTTCCCCACTCCTATCCAATTTCCACTTTCATAGCAGAGTATTTTTTAGAGCCTTTTGCCTCAATTTCTAGGTTTCTGGAAAAGGCATAGAATAGACTAGCTATAGACTCCATAACCAGATTTAGGTAATAGCAAGAATCTTAGTAATGGTACTACCTTGATGTGGCTAATCTAATGATTCGTAATTGTAGTAGGGTCAGATGAAGATACAGCCTGAATCTGAATGTTAGAAGCTGACTGGCTGTGGCTGGAACCAAGATTTCTGAGTCCAAACAAAAGGGGTAGAAAACCTTTTTTATTTCTGATCCTAAAACAGAATTTTTTGGCAAACTAAGTAACCACAGCAGTTGCTAGCATACTCCCTCCAAAATTTTCTGGCCAAAACTTTGAAAGATAAAATAAGACAACATATTAATATGTTACATTGGGGGAAAATGAATGAGAGTTACCCAACACTCTGAAGACATGGATAATTTAGCTAGCTGAAGGACATCAGGAAGACTATAAATCCATTAAAATATTTAGGGAGCAGGTCCCAAACAGAAAATCAGAAAGAACATGGAATTTATCATGAACCTATGGTAATACTTATATTCTGCAACTTCTCATTTCAATGAGCAACCTAAAAAAAAAATCCTTCTATGTTTCATTCCTTATCACGGTAATCTGTTTATTTGTGGTTTCTAATTTTCAAAAATGACCAAATATGCAGCATCTTATCTTTTAAATAAAGTCAAAGTAAGCATTCAGCTTTACCTATGTACAAACACCATTTGGTGGAGAAGACTACTGGTTTTTACTAAAGTAAAAACTGAATAAAAACTAAAACTGATCTTTTTCCCCAAGTGTTTTCTGAGACAGTTTTCAGAAATATATTATGACAAAAATGGAGGACTGTCTGTATGCTTTTTTCACTAATGTCAGAGACCAAGAAAATATATATATACCTTTTCTCTCCATTGCTGAGACCAGAAGGCAGCTGAAGGTAGAGGTAGAGTTTCTCTAGGTCTGTAAACTTCTCAACTTCTTGCTAGTTACAAAGGATTAAAGAGGAAAATATTTTTAAAAAAACAATACATTTCTAAACAAGCTAACCAATCCCCTATAACAATTAGCAATTGAAATTACTCCAAACAAACAAAAAAAAACACCTTGGAGTTTTTCTTTTCTCTTTATTTGTTCAGTAGCAAAACTAAATTGCTTCCCTGAGTAATTGCAGAAAAGGTCAAATCAAGTAGAAACTTTGTTATTACTGCTTCTGTTACCAGAATAAATACTATGATAGATCAAAGCTTTAGACAACACTATTTCCTATAATTTATTTTTCATTGTATTCAAAAAGAGGCCTTGTGTATGGTGTAGTGGGAAAAAAAAGCACTGGATTGGGAGATAGGAGACTGAGATTGAAGTCTTGATTCTGCCACTTAAATACTTGTGTGAACCTGGAGACATTTCATATGTAAAATGAGGAGGGTTGAAGTAAATGTTTTAGACTTTTAACGTCCCTTCTAACTTTAAAATTCTGTTATATGATTTATCATTTTCAAGGCTGCATGATGCCTTTGATAGCTGAAAAGATTGAGGTACACCAACAATTCTTTTGACTCTGCGAACATTTAAAAACTGTTCTTAAACTCATAGCTGTAATGACTATTTATAGTGCCTGCTTAAGACTTGCAGTTGGCTTTAGAGCTATCCTACACATGGCAATCTGACAGGTTATTTGCTATTGCTTCCTAAAAGTCTACAGCTACACTACCTTGACTGAAAATGAATTTAATAGCATTCTTCTTTTAAGATGCTTCTTTTGCCCTCATTATTTGGACTTTTCCTAGTTCATAATATTATCAAACAGCATCAATTACAGTTCAAATTCTAGTTAATAAGTGACAAAAAAATAAAAATAATCAAATATTTAAAAATACGGTAACCCATTCTTGGCAATATTCAATATAATAATAAAATTAATGAGTTTGAATAATTTACTGGAGTTCATAGTTGTAGGATTTTGTTGTTGTTGTTGTTGGGGGATGGAGGGTGTCCAAAACAGTTTTTGTCTATGTGAGGAACTTCTAGAGAGGAAATTCCTTTCCCTGATGCTTATCACCCACTCACCTGTAGTTTATAGTCTTAGGAATCAAGTCCAAGCCCCTCATTTTATAGATGAGGAAACACGCATTAACTGAAAGGTTAAAAAATTTGCCTATGGTCATACAGATAGTATGACAGAGAAAGGATCTGAACTCAGGTCTTCCTGACACCAAGGCCAGTCCACTAATCCTTGACATTATACCACCTCTTACACCTCCATAAAAAAAGCACATCCAATTAATGAGGTATTCCAGATAGAAAAATATGTCAAAGACTGAACTAATTCTCTTGAAAAATACATCCACCCAGAAGGTTTTAAACGATTGCTGCTTTTGATTCACAAAACATTTCCATTCCTGACTACTCATCCTTTGTCAGTTCTATAGTTTTAATTATCCACAGGACATTAGAAGGGTTCTTATGGGTTCCTCGGTCTGACTTTCTACATTCTAGTGATACTCCATTCCACATTCCCAACAGATCATCCAACTTCTGCTTAAATTTTCTTTAACAGAAAATTAACCATTTCATATAGCAGCCCATTTCAGTTTTATTTTGCTTTAAGTATCCAGAATTATCTTCGATTACTTGGTCAAAATCTGCCTCCATCTAACTTCTACCTACTAATCTTGGTTTGTCTTCCGAAGATTCATGGGATAATACAAAATTTTCTCCCCATGACAGCCCTTAAAACAAAGATAGCTATATTGTGTTCCCCCTACATCTCTTCTACAGGCTAAATACCTCCAACTCTTCAATTACTTTTCATATGACATGGTTTATCTAAGTTCTCCTATTATACTGATCCTCTTCTTCTGGGCATGTTCCAGTTAATAAATATTCATCTAAAAATATGGTACTCAGCACTGGTCATAATACTCAAGGTGTGGTCCAATCAACTCATAGAATCACTACCTCCTAGTTCTAGATACTTAAATTTAATCTCTTAATTCACTCTAAACTGACGTTGCTTTGGCATTTCCCCCTCATTATTAACTCATATTAAGCCTGTAGTCAACTAAGACCTTACCCCTCTCCCCCCAATAAATGCTGTAACAACACCTGACACTTCTTTACTGATACCTGAGCCTAAGCCTAAATTTAACTTTAAATCTATCCCTATAGAATGTCATTATCTTAGCTTTGGTTCAGAAATTTCTGGATCCTGATTCTGTTGGAATAATTTCCACCAATGTGCCATAGGCACATCTGTTTAAGTAGGGTTTCTATCACTCAAATCATTGATAAAACTGTTGTACAGCACAGGCTCACAATTAGAACTGTTCTTTCTGCTCGACAAGTTGCTAATAATTAACAATCTTCAGTTCTCAGGACCACACATTTAGACCTGGGAGCAATCTTAAGAAAACTTCTAATTCCTCTCCCCACCCCATTTTCAAGATACAGAAAATGAGAAGCAATTTACCACACAGGCAGTAAATGACAGAGACAAGATTTGAACCCAAGTCCTCCAATTTCAAATACAATGCTATTTCCACAGAACCACAATTTTCTTATTATTGAACCAGTTATGAATCGCCCTAGTTATACTTCCATCGAGCCCATATCTTTCCACCATTTCTCTAACTACAGAAAAGGCTGACAAGTAAACGTGCTAAAATTCAGATAATTGATTATTGCATTTACTCAATCAATTTAACAAATATTCATTAAGTGCCTACTATATGCTAGCCACTGGGCTAAGCACTGAGGATACAAAAAGAAGCAAAGGACAGTTCCTGCCCTCAAGGAGATTAAAATCTAATAAGTTTACAATCTAAATGATCAATCTAATAACATTATGAGAGAAGGAAAAAAATGTTAGTTTGCCAAGACTTTTGAAAAATTAACCAATTATCATGTCCTACTGATCACAGTTTCACTTTCTAGATGTTCACAAATGATCTGTTTAATAACTTATTCTAGAAGTTTGCCAGACCATCCTACTGGCCAGTTTCTAATCAATCTTCAATCTTTGGCACTTCTCCCATAATCCATAATTCTTTAAAGAATGCTGACGGTCTCAGTGATTATGTTTCTATGTTCCATCAGCACTTTGGGATATAATTCTTTAGCCCCAAAGACTAGAACTCATATAAAGAAGCCAACTGTTTTCTTACTAAATTGGTACCTTTAACACTTTCTTGATTAGTGTTTGTTTTGCCCTTTTTGGTTTGTAGATTTTTCTCAGACTATGGAAATAAAATGAGGAGTAGTTATGTTTTGAAAGAATGAAAAAGTACTGATGAAACATTTATTACATTCTAAGCACTAGGAATACACATACAAAAGCAAGTGGTTTCACTACTCTCCAGAAGGCTAATATTTTAAGGGGGGGGGGACACATAGGGAGGAAGAGTGGCTGGGGAAGGGCTTTTTGGTCTGGAAAATCACAGAGATGGTGAATAGAACAAAAGAGGATCCCATTTACATATCTGTTCCTCCTGGAAGGGTAGTATTGATTTCATTGCAGTTATTATAATAAAGAAAACAGGTAGAAAACTGGATGCAGGTGGGGAAGGGTAGTGGGGTTATTCCTTTTCTATCTGTTTCTCTAGAATTAATAAGCCCTTTTAAATTGTCTACAGTATTTTTCAAAAGCCTCAGTTCTTTTTTTATTTTGATGAGTTTGCAGTCCAATGACATTTTTTGCCTTTGTTCTTATGTGACCTTCTTTCCATCTTTTAAATATATTGTTTTAAAATCTAACCTCAGTGGAGAAAATTTGGGGCAGCTACACTTATTTCCTGATACTCTGCCCATTTCTTCATCACTGGGATAATTTGTAATTGTTATTGTAAAAATTTCCTTTTTTAGAGTCTCTTAATCCAATGTCTTCTCTTTTAGAGTCTCTAGTTAAGGGAAATATACTTTAGTAAAGTCTAGTACACATATGTGACTATGTCCCATTACTCACTTAACTTGACTCTAAGATTTCCATTTGAATGTTATATCAATATCTCAAAATTAACATCTATGTTGAAACTACACTCTTCGTATTGCAAATTTTCTGATTATACCACAATCACGGATAATAATAGCTAGAATTTATATAGTGCTTTAAGTTTGCAAAGCTCTTGATAAATATTATCTCATCTTATCCTCACAATATCCCTGGAAGTAGGTGCTATTATTATTATAGATAAGAAAATTGAGGTTTGTAGAGTTAAAAGCCTTGCCCAGAGTCACCGAGCTGGTAAGCTTTGCTGAGGCTGGATTTGAACTTAGATCTTACTGACTCCAAGTCTAGCAAGCTATTCATTGAGATAATTAGTTGTACATGTCCCCTAAACAACTGTGTTATTTCTTAAGTCCTTTGCTTTTCTTGTCATCCTTTCAAAAGTACATTACCAAATCATAATAACACTTTCCCTATTTTTGTCTATTGGATACTCCTCTTCCTCTCCAAAGGCATTTATAGTTCTTACTTGTGACAGCTATGCCTGAATAATTCTTTTGAAAAGTGAGTAGAATACCAATCAACATTGTGACACGACAACCTAAATAACCTAATGTACTCTTAGGCTACATTAAAAGAAGATCAGTATCCAAGAGAAGGAAGGTGATAATTCCATGGTACGCCACCCTGGATATACGATATCAGGAATACCAAGTGTAATTCTGAGAAGCACATTTTGGGAGGCCACTGATAAGCTGAAGAGTATTCATAGGGTTACCAGGATAATGAAGGTGCTCAATAATAACAAAATGAATAACTGTTATTTATATAGTCCTTTGAGAGTTGCAAAGTACATTACACATATTCTCTTCATTTGAGCCTCGTAACAACCCAGTAAAGCTCATCAACCTCTGAAAACCCAGAAAATATCACCCCAGAAAAAAAAACCAAACAAACCCTGGAACAGCTGAACTAGAAGAAAGATGGGGAACAGCAGTACAGCAGCCCAGAAAATGGGTCTCCCAGTGCCTCAGCAAAAA